TCTTCTAGCAGGTGTAAATGCAGATAGAATACTCATAGTCATTAAAATAATAATAATAATAATAATAAATCTTGTTTCATTCATCTTTAATGTGAGTGCTTAGATCCAAGCTCCTAATTAAAAGTATACAGACATATTTATGAAAATGCCACAGTGAAATCCATTATTTTGTATGTTAACTTTAAAGTTCATAAGGAAATGAGAGATGGATCAGCAAAGTAAAGGAGCTTGCTGCAGAAACATGACTCCTCAGCTTCCATTTAAAAAGACAAGCACGGCTGTACATACCTGCAATCCCAGGACCATCAGGGGCAGAGACAGGAGGATCCCTCGGCTTGCTAGCTGCCAGCTTATCTCCAGATTTGGTGAGAGACCTTGTCTCAGGGGAAGCCCATGAAGAGATTTCTGTATTGATGCCACATTAAAAAACAAAGAGACTCCGTGTTTTGGAGTAGTTTAGGCCAACGATGAATACGAATTTGAATTCTCTATTTCTTTCCTTGTGTTATTCATTGTGTCTGTTGTCTGTGATCTGTGTATGTCTCATCTGTTTATTGTGTATGTCTGATGTCTGTTGGTATGGTGTGTGTCTGTGTTGTGGCAGGTACTGGTAAATGTGTATGTGTAACGTCTGCCTGCCTTGCTGTCTGTCCTATCAAAGAATTTTGTTCTGTGTTTATTGAACAGTAGAGAAAACACAGTAGGAGGAAAGAATGAGGAATTTTTTTTTTTCCAGAAAAAATTTAACAGAGTTTTACAAGGAATCGACTCCTACTGACCTGGAATGCTGACTCAAAGCTGCAAACAAATGTTATCGACCTACATCCGCGTGATCCATCCAAAATGTATAGTGGATTTTGTTTACCTTAAGATTTTTTTCAACCTATTGGCTGCTTTCAGCAAATGATTACAACACACACACACACACACACACACACACACACACCACTATTCTGCGTCAAGGCATAAAAGAATAAATACATAGTCAATGATCAAAGCTAAGTGTACAGCTTAGGTTGTAAACACTCATTACCTGGGATGTCTAAGGCACCCTAGGTTGGTTATATTGTTTTCTGAAAGGCCACTTAAATTTAAACAAGGTAAGTACACAGTGGGGAAATATATTGAGTACATAGTTTTAAATGGTCTCAAAGTTTATCCATACTTCGTTGCAAGGTCTGGCAAAAGTTCAGTTTCTAGGGCCAGGTGGTGGTGGTGCAGGGCTCTAATCCCACTCGGGAGGCAGAGGAAGGTGGATTTCTGAGTTCCAGGGCAGCCTGGTCCACAGAGTTCCAGCATAGCCCAAGGGTACACAGAGAAACCCTATCTTGAAAAACCACAAAAAAGAAAGAAAGAGACAGAGAGAAAGAGAGAGAGAGAGAAAGAGAGAGAAAAGAAAGGAAAAGTTCAGTTTTAGAAGGCAAGAGGTATAAGGGTATTCTCAGAAAATAACCCTTTCCCACAGAATTGATTGGTGGTGCAGAAGCCAAAGGCCTCAGACCAGACCAGTGACTCATTACAATGAACATTTGCAAGTAAAGCTGTTTGGGCAAAAGGGTACCCTGTGTGACACACTGTGGCACACTGCAGCTTCCACGGCCAACTGTTCTTTTCTAAATTATTTATTTTATTATTTTTTAATTTTAATTTTTATTTATTTATGGTGGGGTGGTTTCAAGACAGGGTTTCTCTGTGTAGCCCTGGAGGTTGCAAAGGTAGATATGGAGGGCAGGGGAGATGAGTGGGATTGGGGCTCATGATGTGAAATTCACAAAGAATCAATAAAAGTTAAAACAAACAAACAAAAACCCCACAATGATTGACTTTCCCAGTGTGTGTGTGTGTGTGTTTCTTTTCAGAATTAGAAAGGTTATTAATATACCTCCAATGTGTGAACTGAAAGGCTGGCTCATAAGAAACCAAAAGAATACCGTAAATGTGCAGCCATCCCCCACGCCAACCCCCAGAAAAAAAGCAGGAGTCTCAACATGAACTGGTAAAAACCACTTGTCATCAGTATGACTGACAGACGCTTCGACCAATACTCACATGGTATTACTCTGCCGTTTGACCCACTGCTCAGAACAGAAAAGCTTTCGGCAGATATCTTCTGTTTGAGCCTCAGTTTTATATTTTCAATTTCTAAAATAAAGCTATCCCAGATTTGATCTATCATCCTTGAAAATAATCTGTAATGAGTAAAACTAACAAAGGATAAAAACAGGGCCAGGCCTAGTGGTGCACAACTTTAAACCCAGCGCTCGGGAGGCAGAATCATGTGGATCTCTGTGAGTTTGAGGCCAGCCTGATCTAGAGTGAGCTCCAGGACAGCCAAGGCTACAGAGAGAACCTTTTTCAAAAGTTGATTAGTTTATTAAAATAAAATTAGGATTAATGGGACTAGAGTGGTAGTTAGATATGCTACCTGCACAAAAATCAAAAGGGCTGGAGTTCGAATCCCAGCACTCACATAATAAGCCAGCCATCCTTGTTATACACACTGTAGCCCCAGCTTCAAAGGGAAGGAGATAAGTGGATCACTGGGGCTTTCAGCCTCGCTGACAGAAAACGAGTCCCGATTCAAGGCGAGACTCTGCCCCAAAGGAATAAGTGAGGAGAGATAAAAGAAGATCCCCAACAGTTCCTTCCAGCCTCTGAGTGCGCACAGCTATATGCACACACACACACACACAGACACAAGTTTATCAGGTAAAGATGCCTGTAAACCCCAGTACTCAGGAGGCTAAGGTACAAGAATTGCCATGAATTTGAGGCCAGCCTAAGCCACAAGGTAAGTGCCTTGTCACTTAAGGCTGCAGAGTGAGACCTATCTCAAAAAAGAAAGTGGTGGCGGTGCGCGTGTGAGCGTGTGTGATTTTTGTATTTACATTTAAGTCTGGGCCAGCTAATAGCAAAGGTACTGGCATGGATTGACTCTAAACAGTCCATGTGGGCTTACGCTCTGAACACGTTTTCCAGCTAGTGGTGCTATTTGGGGAAGCTGTCAAATCCTAGGAAGTAGGGCCTCCCTGGGGGAAGTGGGTCATGTTTTATGTAAATGCAATGTTATTTGATCTGAATGATGCTTACAATATTCAAATATATAATTCAGACTTGCTTACAGAGAAAAATGTACATCTCCTAAGTGGTTCTTTTGGGTTCTTGGGTATGATTTCTAAACAGAAATCCTAGAACCCATTAACTTTCTGCCATCTAGTGACAGCTATATATATTTACTGTTACTAGGCTTAAAGGGAATTAAAATCCTAAGGCTAAGGCCATTCAATTTTAGACTAAGTATTTTGGAACAGAATGTTTATGTGTAAAGCCTTTTCTTTTTGTAAATAAATAAATGTTTACCTCCTGGTAAAATATTCAATAAAGTTCCACAAGAATTTATTCTAGTGTGTAATGCTTGAGCCATGTTTCAACTATGACTCACAGTTTGGCGCATGACAAAAATTCTTTGCTTGATCAAATTGTAGACTTCTGAACTTTCTCCCAGGCCCCTCTGTGTACTTCCTTATTAAATCCCGTTTTAGCAGATAATCCTGCTTAGTTGGTTTAGCAGGAAGCTCCCCTTCTCCCTATTTAGTAAGTATTCTAACCCTCCATCATGCCTCTGATGTTCTCTGATCACCCTGGTCTGTCTTCTGCAATTTAGAATCCTTTCTATGCCTAAGCAATTCTATCTACTGACCCAGACTTACTTTGTTTTATGCTGCTCCAACAGAATGCCTGGATAACTACAAAGAGCAGAAGTGCATTTCCTGGAGTCCTGAAGGCTGTCAGATTCAAGGTTCAAAGACCCATCTCTAGCAAGGGTCTCCTTGCTGTATCATCCATGATACACAGAAGGGACCAAGTTCTTTTATCCAAGCCCCACTCTTATGATAAATAACCTCCTCAGCAAAAACAGCATTAATCCTTTTTGAGGGCAGATCCCCTACCCCAAGACCTAAAGATATGCTGAAGAAAGACCCCCACCTCTCAGTGAACACTTTCACCGGGGTTACATTCCACCACATGCTTCAAGAACACACTCAAACCCCTACCTCTCTTCTCCTCCTTGGCTGTGCCATCCAGGGTTAAGCCCAGGATCTTTGCAAACTTCCATAGCAGTCGTGCCTACATCTACCATGGTGGTGCTGGACAAAGTCTCTCTAACACTTGTTAAACCCCGAAAGCCGGGCACGGTGGTGCACGCCTGTAATCCCAGCACTCAGACAGACGGAGGCAGGCAGATCTCTGTGACCTTCAGGCCACTGAATAGCATGACTATTAAGCACTTCAGGATTAATTTGAAGCCCACTCCACAGGAAAGTCATACCTGTAAACCTGCCCAGAAGCTCATGGCTTTGGAGGTCATAGGCCATAGGTGAAATTACTGCTACACTGTTGCTTTGCTAGATGGACATGGTGTCAATCTACCCTCTATGTGTTTATGTTTACGCTCATTGATTAATGTTGTTCCCAGTCTCCGAAAGAGCAGCTCCTATCTGCAGTGAGCAACAGGTAATGCAGAGAGACTCAGGCACGCTCAGCTCTAAATGGGAAGTTTCTATCACCCCTCCAAGGTTCAAGGAACATTACAGAAAGGGGAACAAAAAGAACGAAAGAGCCGGAGAATGAAAAGTACTGTGAAATGTTGTCTTCTGAAGATAGCTGACGCACCCATGAACTCACAGCAGCAATGATTACGTGACTGGCCATCAGCAACAGTCATGGATGTGGCAGGGGCTCATGAAGCCTTAGTCTTCCCTGAGCAGTTGATTGCTGAGGGACAGGGCTCATATTCTTGTGGTGTTGACAGCCATCTAGGTTGCTTCTATTTCCTAGTGATTGTGAACATGAATGCACATGTAGTAGTTCTATGAGTCTTTGCAAATATGCGGCGTGTTACAGCTGAACCATGCGGTAGCTCTAGCTCTAGCTACCTGAAGAACCACCACTCACTTCCATAGTGGCTACGCCAACAGCGAATAGTTGTTCCCTTCTCCACATACAATCTTTGTTGACATTTGTTTGTTTGTTTAATCTTAGCCATTCTGAGAGAAAATAACAGCTCCAAGGAGTTTTAATTTGCACTTCCCTGATGGCTACGGATGTTGAACATTTTAGAAAACATTTTTCAGCCAGTTTTTTTCTTTTGAGAACTTTTTAGTTCCATACCCCAAGTTTTAATTGGATTATTTTGTTGGTGTTTAGGCTTTCTGTTTGTTTGTTTTTGAAACAGGTTTTCTCTGTGTAGCCCTGGCTGTCCTGGAACTCACCCTGTAGACAAGGCTGGCCTCAAACTCAGATGTCCACCTGCCTCTGCCTCCCAAGTGCTGGAATTAAAGGTGTGTACCATCCCCCCTCTGTTGTAATACTAATAATATTTACTACTGGTTTATCTTTTATTAAAGCTTGCTGTTAATCCTAAACAGCTGTATAACCAAATCACCACACAGAGACTGGGTTTTATTTAGTTAACCTAGAACACAATGTTAAGTAATAGTTACTCCCTCCTGAACCTCCAAGCCCTCATAGTTTCCTAACATTTATTTCCCACATTATGCTTGCTTTTAGTGATATATTAAGTCCAGTCCATCTCTCCACCTCATTTCAAGATCTGTCCTCCAGCTCTGCTCTCTTGGCTTTCCTCTCACACCTTCTCCTCCCACTCATTTTCTGCCCTCTAGCTCCTCCCTTTGTACAACGTTGTGGCTGGTCATTTTATTTTGGCCTGTTTACATACAGTTGAGACAGGATGCTTTCAGTAAGTATCACAAGGCAATATCCGGATTGAAACCGGGGGGGGGGGGGGGGGAGAGAAATCAGCTAAACAAGAGTAAGATGTATACATTTTGAAAGAAAAACAACACCCCTCTGTTGTTTTTCTTTGTATATGTTAGACAGTAACTTTCCACCAGACATACAGCTGACAAAGGTTATCTTTCCCCATTCTGTAGGCTGCCTCTTCATGAAATGATGATGTTTGTTTGTTTTTAATTTTACAAGGACCCATTTGTCAGTGGTTGGTCCTAATGCCTGCCCTGCTAGGTCCTCTTCAGAAAATTCTTTCCTGTGCCTCTAAGTTGAAGCATATTCCCTACTTTCTCCTGTAACAGATCAGGTCTCTCATGGAGGTCCTTGATCCATTTGGTGTTGTGTATCATGCAGGGTGAGAGATAAGGATCAAGTTTCATTCTTCGTGCAGCCATTGATCTATCCTTGTTAGGGCACATGTGTTTTCTGTTTTTGACAGTTCTGACCTCTATAGATGCAAGACCCCCATGGGTTCCTCTTGTCTGTCACACCTGCAGGCTAAGCAATCTCTCTGACTCATTTGCTAATGTCACTGTGTTGTGTGACACTATTTGGGGCAAGGCATTAACAAATGTCTACTCATCCTAGATAAGGAATGGACAACAGATCAAAGTAACAGTATTGCCAAAGTCCCACTTGGTGAACCAATGAGTTTATTGGGGTTACAGGAATATGGCTGAGGGATTTTATATATAGGAGCACGATGTCTCAAAAAAAAGGCCACGCCAGCATGGGTAACAATTCAGAAAAAGCTGAAATTTTGCAGTGATCTACATGGTTTGCAGGTCAGAAACTGTGTTTTCAGCATTATTGCTAACACATGCTGGGAAGGAATGGCCTTGTGACTCTGCTAAGTTTTACTAACTTTTTCAAACTTTTAAGTTGTTTGCTTTTTGTGTCTTAATGACCCTCTCTGTTTAGTTCGTCTTGAGTTTTAAGGAGCTTCCCTGCAAAATGGCATGTTTAACCCAAGGAAATTACCAGCTCATTCCTTAAACTGGAAAGCTATTGCTTTGGCAGTGCGGAGCTCAAACCTAGGCAAACGTACTGTCACTAAGCATTGTACCATGATATGTGTACTACGGGCCACATGAAAGAACTTCTAAAACAACGAGAACGTCCCTGCAAAGTGGTAGTGACCACAAACACTATAAACACCTTCATTCTTTCAAACTTAGTACACTGTGTAAGAAAGAAACATTATGCAGACACATTTAATATTCATCTTTTCAACTTTATTATGTACAAATAAGAATAACAAACTAAATAAAATACATAGTTCTAAGAGAGCATAATCATATCAGTCTGTAAACACTTCAGCCAAGCACAGTCAAAAGTACACAGCATCTTCTAAGGAAGACTGGTGAGATATTTAAATTTTGTTTTCAAGTATGAAGAATTAAACATTTACTCTTTTACTTCCTCATGAAAAATAATCTATTCTCAGACACAGTTTAAGTATTGTCATAGCCACTACTACTAAATGAAACATGGGCTGAACTACAGTTTGCTGTAATGACCTAAGAAGCCTGCGAACATCCACTATGACTCAGAATACTTATATAGGTTCAAGACCTTAAGATGAAAAATAGCACAGTCTTTAACCTCCTTTAAAAGGAACTTTGAAATTAAACTTCTCAAGACTTTCATCCAGAAATGTTTCTTAAATATCAAATTTCTCTTCACAGACACTATGTCCATTTTCTTCGTAATCATCTCTCGTAACCACCATATCTTCAAAGTCATCGTTTTCAGATATCAACTTTCCACCTTCCCAGGAGTACGTAATAGGGCTGAAATAGAAATCACGAAAATGAACTCAGCCATCAACCAACGATTCATAGAGCAAATGTCGATTACACACTAAACGACTAAAAGTTCTGCTTTAGAAAGTAAAACCGCATTTATGGGTTAAGTTCTTCCTCACCTGCACAACACAGTGGATTGTTTGGTTTCCCCCCCCCCATTTGCCCTATTTGTGGTCCTTCTACTTTTAGTGAAAACCCCAGAACATAAACAAAAGCTGGTGAGAAGTAAATGGGGAAAATGCTCTAGCTCTGGACCTAAGTTGAAGAGAAGAAATATTAACCTAATGATTCTCCCAGCAGTCCATGGGCCAGCTATGGGTAAACCCTACTTTAGAGATGGGAATGGGAAGTCTAAGTTACCCTGCAGCTGTGGAGTGTAGACCTAGCAGCTGTCTCAGCAACGCTTTCAGTCTGTACTGTGGCTGCTATGAATGGACAGACGGTAGATAAAACCCACGAAGTGAAGCATTCGATTTGGCTTTGCTGTCTATAGCCACACATGCTTTATGCTGACGCAGTTCTATTTCTCTTCTTCAGCTGAGATCAAAACAGGTGAAGAGAACTGTTCTTACACACAGCATTTGCAACCTTTTATTAACAGACTTATTGATATCTTTATATTTGTACGTATAGGTTTTTTTCTGGAAGGAAACATGCACAATCATGATTCATCACATTAAACAACAAAAGCTATCTGGGTCAGTCCCTTGGCCTCAGGCGGGTATGTGCAGGATAAAAACCCAATGTCAAGAAGTATATGAACATTACTGCTGACAAAAAAATTATTCCAGCATTTAATGATTACTTAATACCTTTACCCAAAAGTTAAAAATGGAAGTTTTATATAGGTAGTGCATATTTATAATCCCAACACATGGGAGCATGGGCGTAATGACTGTTAGATTGGGGTCTGATGGAACTTCATAGCAAGCAACACTGGGTCTCAAAAAAAAACAAAACAAAAGAAAACAGAAAGTGATGCAGATGAGACCCTTCAATTAATGTCTACTGGCTTTGAAAAGTACTACTTTAGTGTAAATTTAAATTTAATTAGAGTAGGATCTTATTTTTAACTATGCCACTAACACCAGGCAATCTTTCCGTTAAGAACTCCTGATTTGGCCATGATGTGGTGGCTTGGCCTTAATCCTGGCACTCAGGGGGCAGAGGCAGCAAAAGAGCAATCTCCATGCATTTGAGGCCATCCTGGTCTACATAAGCTAGTCTCAGACTAGCTAGTGAGACTATTTCAAACAAACAAACAAACAAAAATCAAAATACCCTACTAGCTCGCAGGCTAAGTTCTTGCTATCGAATCCTGACAACCTGAGGTTAAACTCTGGGACCCATGTAGAAGGAGAAAATCAATACATTTGTTCTCTGGCCTTCATACACATGCTTGAAGCATCCACACCCCCAACCCCACACATCATATACACATAATAACAATAAAATGAAAGCCCTCATGATTCAGGTAATATAACTGGGCTTTACTCTGGTCACTGCTATGAACTGACCATAAGGAACCAGGGTTTCACAAGGCCTTCTCTCTCCAATGTCAAATGCAAAGCTCTAAGCAGAATGGTATTTAAGGCCATTCATACAGCTGTAAAGATCTACCTTAACTTTTTTTGCTCAAGTTGAAATGATCCTATTTGCGCTTTTTCATAAAGAGAATAGATGACATTAAAAGTTGTTTTTTTTGAAACAGTCTCACATTAACCAGGCTAGCTTCAAAACTGCTTTGCAGCCAAGCTTGGCATTGAACTCCTGGTTTTTCTGTCTCTTACTTCCCAAAGCTGGGATAACACACCAGCACAACCATTCCTGACTTCATAACAATTCTGAATAAAAAAAATCTAGTCAGTTATAAAGGCTCACTGAAAACATTTAGAACATAAAAAATTCCAAAACTTATGAATTGATAGTGTTTATCTTTCTCTCTCTCTGTCTTTTTCAAGACAAGGTCTCTCTGTGTAGCCTTGGCTGCTCTGGACTTGCTTTGTAGACCAGGCTGGCCTAGAACTCATAGAGATCTGCCTGCCCCTGCCTCCCTGAGTGCTGGAATTAGACAGGTATGCATCACTTCCGCCCAGCTGATAGTGTTTATCTTAATAATTCAGTTGTTAACCTTCTATTCTTGATAGAGAGAACTTGTCACAAGGTGGTACGTCTAAGATAAATTTGGCAAGAATTTGTTTTTTTTGCCTATAAAAATCCTCGGAACCAGGACTGACACAGATAGGGGAAGAGCTCATGTTCCTGGGCTCCCATCATGTGTCAAATGCTGTGGTTGGCTCTTTACACATCACCTCTCCTAACTCACTTAAGAGTTAAGATTTTATTTTTGAGACAGAAAGCAAGGATGCCACTGGGAAATAACCTGCCAGCATCTAAACAGAGCCAAGCTTTAACGTCACGCCTTCTACACCCCAGCTCCTGCAAAAGGGTCCTTTATAAACCCACACTTACTTCTCTGGCAACACAACTGAAACGTCATAATCTGTTGGCGTCAAACACCGAACTTCTGAGTAAACCCGATCTCTGAATCCCGGGAAAAGTGTATTTCCTCCCGTCAAGACAATGTTCTTAAAAAAATGTGGCTGCATTTCTTTAAAAGAAAAAAAAAAAAAAAAAAAAGGAGAAAAGTAGAGAACAACGTTAGAAAATCTTCTCCCTGGAAGGACTCAGCCGAGCATGTGGACAAAGAGCAGTCGAGATGGCTGGAAACCAACCAGCCTCGGAGGTCCACCGTTAAGATTAAATGTTTTTTCCTTTGTTGCTGCTGTTGTTGAGAATGGCCACACTATATGGACAATATGGCCTTGAATTGCAATCCTCCTGTCTCATTCTCTACAGTACTGTGGTTAGGACATGTGTCACCACACAAGGCTACATTTTAAGATTCATGAGAAGGTGATATGGGTGGAGACACTAAAGACAGTGAAATGTGACCTCACAGATCTTTAAAACAAAAAATTAAGGTGGATGAACTACTGCCTATGGACTGTATATGCATGGAAGCCATATATAAACAACTTTCTGTAGCAGACAGGCATTGAATCATAATTATCATCCTTCTCCCCAAAAACAAAGTTGGTCTTCACTAGAGATGAAATTATAAACTTTTGTAATAAAAAAGGCCTTCTTTAATATTTTTAATTAGTCCAAATTCCTATGTTCTCACACTAAAAACAGATATATCTATTCTATGATATTTACCTTTGATGGGAAAACACTCATGATCAATAGCCTTTAAGTAAAGATCTAGGTGTGAACAAACACACTAAAGGTATATGATGTCAGACACTAGGCATTACAAGGTGAACCAGTGTTAAAAACCTACAGAACACAACTGGAAAACCTATCAGGATGTAATGGGCCTGGCCACACCACACCTACTGCTTCTACTCATCACGATAAAGCTGCCTTCCAGGAGCACTGTGCTGATATTACATATGTAATGACGGCAACTTCACACAACACGGGAACCAGGAACACAGCTGTAGCATTACTGACTTTCCTTTTCATTTTGTTTTTTAGTCATGGAAAAGTACACTGTATGCACTAGATTTCTTCTAATGCCATGACTGTTCCTTATAGAGAAGGATAAAAGCGCTGGAGAGGTTATGGCTCAGTGATCAAGAGAATTAACTTCTCTTACAAAAACACCTGAGTTCAGTCGCCAGTACCCACATCCAGCAGTTTAAAACATCCAGCTCCACAGCATCTGATGCCCTCTTCTGGCTTCTGAGGGCACCTGCATGCATGTGACACATAAACTCATACAGGACAACCCCACACACATACAAATATAAACAAATAGCTCCTTAAAGTAGGACAGCCAGGGTCTGGAGAGATGGCTCAGAGGTTAAGAGCACTGACTCTTCCTCCAAAGGTCCTGAGTTCAATTCCTAGCAACCACATGGTGGCGCATAACCATCTATAATCTAGTGCTCTCTTCTGTTATGCAGGCACACATACAGGCAGAATTCTGCATAAATAATAAATAAGTCTAAAAAAAAAAAAAGTGGGACAGCAAGATAGGAAACTACTCTAAAATCCCAGGACACTAGTTACTTAACATATACTTCAGAAGAATCGGAAATCTCTATGAAACCCTTGACTCCACTCATTTTGATTTTGTTATTATTTATTATTACTGTATGCATGCCTGCACATACATGCACACACGATACGGGAGGGACATTCATGTCAAGAGCAAGTGTAGAGATCAGATGACAACTCTGTAACATTGGTTCTCTCTTTCTACCTTTTGTAAGCTTTGGGGGATTAACTTAGGTTGTCAGGCTCATACACAAAGGCCTGGGCCATCTTGCTATCTTAATAAAAGTAAGTCTGATTGCTGGAGTGGTGGTGACACATGCCTTTAATACTAGCACTTAAGAGGCAGAGGCAGGAAGATCTTCATGAGTTTGAGGCCAGCCTGGTCTACAAAGCAAGGACAGCAAGGGCTACACAGAGAAACCTTGTCTTGAAAAACAAAAACAAAGAAAAGTAATCCTGTATGTTATTCTAAATATCACAAAATGAATAAGCTAGTCTTATCAATTGCTGAAAGAGCAATCCATTAAAACCTTTAGATTTTGATTCTGAATACATTTAGGTTAAAACTTTCAGTTCAGTCTTGTAGCACACCTATAATTCTAACCCTGAACCTGAAGCAGGAGACCCTGAGGTCAGGCCAGTCTGAGCTACAGAGAAAAACTGGGCCTAAAAAAAAAAAAAAAAAAAAAAAGAAAAAATCAATAGACTTTTCTCAAATGAATAGAGCTATTTAGTACTTAACTATATTCATGCTTAAATAGACCATCATGACTTTTGCAAAGTATGATTCGTGACCCAGAACAAATCAACCAACAACTACTTAAATGCATTATAGGATCAGGAAATCTTTTCCAATAATACAGGTGTCATTGTTTGAAATTACTTAAGAAACAGTACTATGATTATGATTTTTCAAAACTATTTCTCTTCAACATTTTACTCTGGTCATTAGCATATGTACCTTCAGGTAGGTTTTGAATTGAATAGACAATAGCTTCCGGGATCCCCATCTCCTGAATGCCAATGTCAGAAGGATTGAAGAGTATTTCTGGAACAGCAAATCTCTCATTGGCGAGGCGAAGAATCTGTTCCCCAGACTTATACTTTCCACTCAGTACCATCTCTTCTCTTGGCTTAAAGCAAAGTGAGGTAAAGCATATGAGCGACATTGCCTTGTTCATACGACAAATACCAATTAGAAATACATAATACTAGACAGTGACCATGTTTTATTAGAAGTCGCAAGATTCTCAAAAATTAGAAAAATATTTTCTCCCTCCTGTTGTCATAGCATACAAACAAAAATGAGCTCAAGAGGTAGAGGAAGAAAGCTCTCTGTGAATTTGAGGCCAGCCTGGGCTACATAATGAGTTCCAGGATAGGAGGGAAGAGGAGACTAATTAAAAAAAAAAAAAAAATCAATGCTACTATGGCCATCCTACCCCACAGACAATCTACCACCTTTACTCCATGTGTCTTTAAAAGAAAGGAAAGTTCACAGTCAGCCTGTAACAGCACAGTGATTCCACCACTAAACAGATTATGCAGTACCCCCCTCCCGGTGTTCCTGCCCCTCTCTAGTTACTTCCTACTTCACTTGTTTGTTGGACACGAAGCTGCCATATTCCATAGATGGTTCAACACCCATGCATACGTGGGCAGCACTGAGTAGACTCAGTGGGTAAAAAAAATGCAGCACATTCTATCGGGAAGAAAGAGTAGTGGTGAAGACAGGGAGGAACAGGAGAGGAAGGAAAGGAGGGAGACCTGAAAATGCACTACATGCATGTACAAAATCCTCAAACATTAAAAAATAATTTCCAGCCAGGCACGGTGACACACATCTGTGATCCCAGCACTTGGGATGCAGAGCAGGTGAATCTCTATGAGTTCGAGGACAGCCTGGTCTACAAAGTGAGTCCAGAACAGCCAAGGCTACACAGAGAAACCATGTCTCGAAAACAAAAATCCAAATAATTAAGCAAAGACATGTTTGTTTGTTTGTTTTTAAATCTTTTCTTTGTTTGTTGGTTTCAAGACAGGGTTTCTCTTACAGCCTTGGCTGTTCTGAACTCCCTTTGTAGACCTGCTTGCCTCTGCCTCCCTGAGCGCTGGGATCAAAGGCATGCGTGCCCCACCACATCCAGCTCATGACATGGTTTTTGTTACTGCAATGATCCCTTTAATGCCAGCTTGTAGTGCACCTATATAGCAAACACAAACTTTACATGAACCAGGACATTCTCTTCTTTACATTCTGCTAACCTGCCCTTCGGTGAAGGGGCTAGAAAAGGACTCTCCTGAAACACCCATATCATAAAAAAGTCAGTCCTGGTCAACTGTACAGTCATCATTTCTTCAAGATTCAGGTATAGTCATTCACTTCACCCAGATGATAGATACAAGTTTTCCACCACAGCATACTCAAAATATGTGAAAATGTATGACTATGTGTGTAAACACATATATGTGCAAATATACATATACATTATTGTTTCCTTAATACATATTGTGGTCCTCCCCAATCTTTAGTGTTCATCACATGGCCACTACCTAATACAGCACACACTACCTAGCATATGGTAGGTATACAATAAAATCCTGGACAATGGCATGCAAAAAACAAAACAAAACAAACAACAGAACAAAGTGCCACTGACTGCATGAGACATTTTATGTACATTATCCCACAATCTCACATAACACCGAGACAGACGTGCTGTCATTTCACTCATGATATATCAGGCTCAGGAAGGTTCTGACTTGTCCAAGGTTCATCATATCAGCACACCGGAAATATTCCCTTACTTCATAACCTGGATATGACTCAGCTTGCTATCAATTGGGAACACGCTGCTCATAACAAATTTTAAATAAAACTTTCCAGATAATTACACAACTAAAAAAAAAAAAAAAAAAAAACCAAGGAAAGTATAAATGTAAATCACTTCTAACCCAATTAAATAATTGCCGCAGTAAGAGAAATAGTATTATTCTCCTCAGAAGAAGTATCATTCTATCTTAGGTAGAATGGAAAATATTCTCTATAAATTTACAACTTAACTTACAACTGACATTAAGCCTGGTATGGCGTATAAACCTGTAGTCCCAACACTTGGGAGGTTGAAGCTGGAGGACTGTGCAAGTCTGAGGCCAGCCTGGGCCTGTTCAAAGCAAAAGAAACTAAACACACACACACACACACACACACACACACACACACACACACACACA